AAGAGGGTGTAGGAGGTTTGTGTGAAGGCGGGGGCGTTGTCATTGACGTCGGAGACCAGCATGGTTATGTTGTACTCGGTTTTCAGCCTGGGTGTTCCCAAGTCAGTGACGGTGATTGTGATGTTGTACTCGGCTTGGCTCTCTCTGTCCAGTGCACCTTCAGTCATTAGGATGTAAAAATTGTCAACGGACGGCTTCAGATAAAAAGGCAGATTATCTTGAACATAGCAAACCATCTTTCCGTTTTCTCCAGAGTCTCTGTCTTTAATCTTAAAAACAGCCAATACCATCCCAGGAGAGTTTTCAGCAACAGAGTTGGAAAGTGATGATATGATCAGTTCAGGAGGATTGTCGTTGGTATCTAATACCTCTACCAAAACTGTGCATCTTGCAGAAAGGCCTCCACTGTCCATTGCCATTATATTTATTTTGTAAGAATGTACTAGCTCATAATCAAGCAATTCTCTGAGAAAGATTTCCCCAGAAATAGGATTGATTTGAAAGGCTGTCAGAATATCTTCAGAAGCATCAAAAAATGAATAGGATACTTCTGCATTGACTCCTAAGTCTACATCTCCTGCGGATACTTTAACAATAAGGGACCCTACCGGGCTGTTTTCTGGAGCCTGGGTCTCATAGAGCGCCTGTGTAAACTGTGGGGCATTGTCATTGACGTCCAAGACCACGATGTGTACAGTAGAGGTCCCAGACCTGGGTGGAGATCCACCATCCAGCGCTGTGAGGGTTAAGCTGAGTTCTCCCTGTTCCTCCCGATCCAATGCTTTGTCCAACACTAGCTCCGGATATATCATGCCTTCATCACTGCCACTAATTTTAATACGGAAAAAAGAGTTGGAACTGATCGTATAGTTTTGGATACTGTTAAGTCCTCCATCTGGATCCTGTGCTCTTTCTAGTCGAAATGCTGCCCCTTCAGCTGTATTTTCTGATACTTTTAAGACTATCTCTTTTTCCCGAAACACTGGTGAATGATCATTTATATCCCTAACTCTCAGCTCAGCCCGGTAAATCTGAAAGGGATCATCCATTAAAATTTGGAAATACAGTATACAGGGCTCTGTGGAGCCACACAGCTTCTCTCTGTCCAGTTTCTCATTTGTGAGCAAATTCCCAGTCTGTGAATCCAGGAGCAGGTATTGTTTGTTATCATCGGAAACCACCCGGGTTCCCCTTGCAGCCAGCTCCCCGTCTGCTAGTCCCAGATCCTTTGCCAGATTGACCACAAAGGATCCTCTCTCTGCTTCCTCCATCACCGAATAACGTCCAAACCCAGAACCTGCCAAAGACACTCCCCAAAAAACAAAAAGAAACAGAACTTGCCTTTGTCTTGGGAAGCTGAACCCTCTGGCCTCCATAGCAGCTGCTTTCCTTAATGTCAGTTGCAATCCCAGTGCCCCAGCACAAACAGCAATCACAAACCCAAACTTAGGTGTAGCAGGGATCTAGGATTTTTAATTTTTTCTTTTCCAATCAGGGGCTGCTACGGCCTTTCTTCTCAGCCCATCTGTCTGGATCTTTCCTTTTTGTCAATGACTTCCGTAACATCCTGGTCGAGTTTGTTCCTCCATCTCTTTAGCCTGCAGCGCCACCTTGTGGCTTCCAACACATTCAAATAGCTGTGCCCAATTTTTGTGTTTGTCTATATTCATAAAAATTCTTCGTTGCTTCATGAAAAAGGTAAAAATTGAACAGTTGAAAAAATGTTTCTAGCAATAACCCAGTTCATTTCTGTGTTAGACTTGGCTCTGTACTAGGCCTTTCGCTTCTGACACAACTCTTATGCAAAAAAAGGGAAAATTGTGGGTGCCTTCTGGAACCACCAAAATAATATATATTATTTTCTCAGAATCATTGGGCATAGGAACACCAAAAAATTAACAAAAAAAAAACTTATTTTGCATGTTCTTCAAAAACCTTCTTCAAAATCTCATTAGATTGCCTAACCAGAATCACCGCTCTGTAGTCCAGAACCAAGCATTTAGGCTGTCTCTCTACTGTGCTTCTCTAAAGCTTATGCATACAACTATGTTTACTCTATAAATATTATTGCTTCCCATTTCATGTCAGTTTGTCCCTTCATCAATGTGCGAACTACTTGAGAACAACTATGCCTTACTCATTTTTGGTTGGCAAATCAGCCACTCATTAAATGCTTGTCATATTAAGGTATCCATAAATAAACTCTAGTGAGTAGGACATGAAACTATATTCAGTGCCTTTCAATCTCTGCTACTTGAAAATTGTTTTCTTTAATTTACTCATACTTTACAATTTGTTTCTTTTTTCTTATATTAGTTTTAAAATAACTTGCAGAGTTAAAGAAGGGACTGAGTGATCTCTATTTTAAGGTTCCTTTTAATGGAAATCTAGTAGGCCTTAATTTCTGTGATGGAGGAAACTGAGAGAGGATCCTTTGTGGTCAGTCTGGCAAAGGATCTGGGACTAGCAGAAGGGGAGCTGGCTATAAGGGGAACCAGGGTGGTCCCTTTTAATAGAAATCTAGTAGGCCCTACTTTCTCTGAACCAAATAAGGGGAGGGAAAAAACAGATCAAGCTAGCACCTATCCTGACATTTAAAGTGAGAACAAATTGTAAAACCTGACTCACATAGAATTTTATTCAAAGGACTTATGTCTAGAAAGAAGCTCAATTTTTCTCATAATAAGCAAGAAAATGCAGATTAAACATAGGGATGTTTTACAGAGAAAGGGCTGGATACCGCCAACATATGCTGTGATGTCTATAAAAGCCAAACCATATACACCTCTCCTTGATGAGTTCTATATTTTCCAACTTAATGAGACTGAGTTGTTGGCCATTAAAAACATAACAGAAACCTCTGATTTTTAAATTCAGAATTAGAAACAATAAATTATTAAGTATTTTACATAATACCTTTGCCATTGGCTACAAACATAAACACATTTACACATACTCAATGTCTTACAATAACTTCTCTTTATTTTTAGATAAGCCTGGTTAAAGATTTCTCATATCACTTACAACAGAAATATTATATTTTATTTAGGGAGAGATCAATACTGGGAAAATAGAACTTTTTAAAATATGTTACTTTTGAATGGGCACATTGGCTTATGACTGTGATCCTAAAATTTTGGGAGGCCAAGGATGGAGGATGACTTGACCCCAGGAGTTCAAGACCAGCCTGGGCAACTTAAAATTTCCATCTCTACAAAAGATTAGCCAGGTGTGGCGGTCCAAGCTACTCAAGGGCTGAGGTGGGAGGATCCCTGGAGCCTGGGAGGCAGAGGGAGCAGTGAGCCAAGATTGTGCCACTGCACTCCAGCCTGGGTGACAGAGTAAGACCCTGTCTAAAAAGCAAAAAAAGGAAAGAAACTTTAAGAAAGTGTTATAAAATTGAGATTCAAAAACCAAAAGGAATACCAATTTTGAAAGAAAAATAGAAAACAGAACTGTAACATAGGAAACCTAATACATGCAGCAAGCTATTTTAATGTTTGAAGTTCTAGGAAACTGAAAACTAACATGAATAATGGAGCAAAAACTGAACAGAAAGTGAATAAAATATAAAGACAAAAATTTTAAATGATATCAACTTTGAAGATAAAGTCTGTTTTGTTAATTGGAATTATATGAAAACACCTCTTTGGGTTAAATACGAGGAAAAGGGAAACCGAACTTCACAATATAATTAGAACTAACAATCAGAGAAAACTAACGCCTTCTGGGTGGTGGTGAGCATGAACATTTTAATCAACACGACAACAATAAAAAGTTTAGTTCTTCAACGAATGGGTTCCTACAAATAATTAAATCGAAAGCTACTGTGGAGTGTGGAATTTTAATCTATTCCCAGTTCCCTAAGAGGGGAAGTTGGGGATAATTGGTTTCAGGAACTTGAAATCATTTGTCCCTGAATCCCCCGACAGACACACCTCGTACTGGTAGCTCCGGGACAGAGTCCCGGTGCCGCTCACGTCCACCAGATGCCCTGGAAAGGGACCCTCGGGTAACGAGCAGCGACCCACCAACGCTGCCCTGCTCCTCCTGCACAGCCGCACCGCCACGAACAGGAGCACCGA